AATGGTTATAAATCATGTCCCATGAAATTATCATGCTCATAAATGAATGATTTTCATGGACTTACTTGTATAACTATCGTATATTTGTGTGTTTGTAGTTTGTGCGTGTATAGTTAAATTCTGGATTACCGAGACGTTAGTACTCACCCCTCTCTTTAACATTTTAGGCAAGCTTAGCTGATCAAAGGGAAGTGTCTGGAAGCTTGGGGCTTAGCTTAAGTAAGTTTTAAGTTCTATTTTAGTTTGTAGCATAATCAATTGCCAGTATAAGACTCATTTGTCATTTGAGTTGAGTTTTAAAATTATTTATTATTTATTGATGACTAAAAATGATATTGTTAGTTAAGGCCTAAGGCTATAGAAGTTGCTTAACCAATCTATTTATAGTAAATATTTTAATATAAAACTCTAAGTGTGGAGACATTTATTGAAATAAATATTTGAGTATTCATGGTGGGATGTGACATGCATGTCTGCTTAGACTTCTGTTGAATGAAATATTTATCTATTTTTTATTCTTTTCTATCTACCATGATAGGGTTTTATTTATGATTTTAAATAATAAGTGTAAACTTTTATAACCTTCGTAACCCTTTTAAACAGTTTAATCAAGGCTAGATTTTAAATATATATTTAGTAGATGAAATTTTTGTAACTATGATGATTTCCTAAAATATGAATTAACTCTTTACTACTATGATTATCTTTTTAAAATAAAATTTGAGAATTAGCCTTATATCTATATATCATAGTAATTATTTTTTATTAAATTAAATATTTTTATTATCATGGTATTTAGTCAAGTTGTTAGTTAGTAAAGTTGGGGTGTTACACACCCTACTACCCCATGTAAAATCTTAGTGGAATTTACAACAAGACATCTGCAAATAACATTAAAAGGTTCATATGCACGAGCACTTATTTTGAAGTTATGCATATAGTGCTGCAAACTTCTCTTCTTGATAGTTGAAACTACTCCTGTTGCTACCTATTTGCTTCTTTCTACTGCATTTTCTTTTTATTCAAGTTTTTTTGTTAGGAAGACATCTATGAGTTTGTTTGGTTTAATTCTTAACCGAGGTTAAGGTGGCCTAAACCTCAGCTAAGAGGCAAAAAGCTCATTATCCCATCTAAAACCATGTTCGAGCCATAAAAAAATGGTCAAGCAAGCTTTAAGACAAAATGGGTATTGCTGGATAAGTCAAAAGAAAGCAACTTATTGACATATTTAGAATATTGGTTGGGGTTTTCTTACTATTACATTATTACAAGATTCTTTCTCCTCCTTATCCTCTCACCTTACCCTGAGACTCCTTCATCTTTTAATTACTATCATCAACCTCTGCCTCTTCTCTTCTAATCCACGGCTCTTTCTGTAAGCTCTCTCTTACTTAACTATGTTTAACTTCAAAATTAAGGTAACTAAAGGATTAACCCTCAAAAGATTACAAAAGTTTGTAAAATAATATGAAAGAAAAAACTTTCAAAGTATATACAATTGGGATCCCTAGAGTTTAATTTCAAATCTCAAACAACACTTATTATACTCGAATCAGAGTTTGAAAACAATACGAAAGCTTGGAAATCAAATGGAACCTAAAACTATGAGCTTTAAAAGTCAAAAAATGGATTTTGTGTAGAAAACAATATGTGCGCTACAGCATACGACATTTACATTGCGGCTCATCTTTCTTTGTGCCATGTGCCACGGCGCATTACATGAATTTGACAGATATTAGCTGTCAAAATGATAGCATAGGGAGCAAACTTTCAACGCATCCCTAACTCATACCAGACCACAATACTAACAATCATGTGGTCGAATTTATATGCATGATCAAATGTCAAACTTATATCCTTTTGTTACCTCCTACACGAAACCGGCGACTATCACATAGGTACGTCTTTCACAAACTAATCCAACCTTTTACTTGTGAGGAGCTACTAGGCCAGGGTTAATCACTCACTTTTGTAATTTGGTTTCTCCTAATACTAATAACTATAGGGTGTCGTACCCTTAATCTACCCTTCTCATGAATCGATGAGACTAGTTAGGTTCGAGTCTCTCATAGAATAAGTGGGACAATCTCGAATCAACTATTGAACACGGGCTACTTCTTGATTCTAACAGTCGGTGCCGGGGTAAGTTCTCGATTCCAACGGTTACTATTAATACCACATGGATTTAAATCAATCTACTCATATTCCTAGGTGAACTCCTGCAAATGATCATACTATGCACATTTTACACATAATGTACATTAAAAACAACTAATTCATGGTATATAATTTCACATAATCACACTCACATATTCCACATTCTCAACACATGATACATCACAATTTTTCACCCATCATAGCATGCCATAATTAAATTTATAAATCATAAAAGGTGGCATGATAAGAGTTTTCCTTTCCAAAAACCATTTCACAAGCCAACACACTGCCAATATGTATTATTAATTTTAAATCATCAATCACATTTCACAAACACAATTAACATTCAACTATAAAAATTAGATTTTCCTTGATTACCTCAAACCTTTGAGAAGTCAAAGGTTTATCCCTCACATAAAATACTTTCAAAGCTTCTCTCAAGTTTGAATGGTGCCAAAATTAAACCTCGCTACATACATACCACAAGGATATTATTATTATCCCATTTTGAGAGTTTTACCAACACAATCTCCACAAACACTATGTTATCAACCTATAAATCATTACCCATTCATATCCAATGGGTTCATTAGGTTTCATTAATGTACATTATCATTGATAACATTTCAAACCACCATTAATAAACATATACCTTTCCTAGCTACCATATTAATGTTGATTTTCGGGTATTAAATGCTCCCATGAACCAACCACTTTAAAAATCACAAATGTGGTGTTTCAATACCTTAAATAACTTCCATTATATTCATTTTAACCAATGAGATTAGACCCACACTCCTATAGACTGAAAATGAACTCTCAATTCAAACCTTATCATAAATCTCTATAAATAAGGGAGAGAAAGGAAGAATAAGGCATAATAAACTTACCTCAAGTGTTTGGGAGGTTCAAACTATCCATAATGGTCCCAATGTGTGTGCCCTAGCAGAGGTTCAATATTCTCTTCTTGTTTCTCTCCTCCTCCTCCTTTGTCTTTGTATGCAGTAATATGTCTGATATATCAAAATTTTAGTCGTGTGCCGCGACGCACTCTGGCACAGAGGGGCCGTTACCTTTAAAATGGCCCCTGCGAACTGCGGCACATTAACCACACGCCATGGCGTGTGGCATAGAGGACATTTCCTCACTTTTTCTTCCTTCTTCATTACCCAAGTGGCCCGCCATTGATTCAGACATACTTTTAGGGTTGAAATCATAATAATTACACTAAATTAGGTCTCTTTAGCTATACACCTCATTAACTTACTAATCACACTCATTAGATTAATTAATCACGGTTAATTTTCTTGAATGTTACACTTTTCGTCCATTAAGGTGTTTGTTTTTGGTCATGTGTCTGCAATTGCAATGGTTGTTTGGAATTCCAATTAGTTAGCTTAAACCATAATTTATAGGCTTAAAAGCTAGTTAGGGGTTATAAAATATGTTTAGGTAAAAGTAGTTGGCAAAGGAGCTTTTCTTTTTCAGCTATAATTAAATCAAAAGCTAGATTTTGAAATTTTTACATCAATCATGTTGAAAACACTTAATGCATTTTAAATTCATTGAATAACCTATTTATCGTTTCACATTTCCTTTTGAATTTTGAATTTTTTATTATTTGATATATATATATATATATATATTCTATAAATAGATCCAATTAAGTTGCTTAGTATTTAAAAATATTTTCCATATTAATGCATCACCTCTCTTTAGTTTTATGATTTTAATTTTAATTTTAATATTTTTTTTAAATTTATCAAATTGCATGCTTATATGTGTGTGAGAGAAACTTACAACTCATGTTTTCTTAGTTCTTTTTAATCAGCCCGTGTCCTTTTTAATTAATATATATTTAAACCTATTTTTTAAATTATATCATCTAAATAAATTTTAATTTATTAAATTAATTTTTACAAAAAAATATTTATACATAGACCACGTTAAAATAGTTGACTTTTAATCTAACTTCAATTTGCACTCTGTAATTTTTGTGAAATGGAGTTCTTCAGACAAGCTTTGCACGTCGCTGTCCGTGGGTTCTGTCATTGCTTCGTGTTTGTCCGTGGCTGCCATTCCATCATCTGTTGGAGGTCGCAGTTTCGATCGCCGTCCGCCGTGCCTTGCCGGATCTTACTCCTTCATTATGTTGTCCTCGTTCCCTGCCTCCAGGTCATGATTATTATTCTGCTTTCGTCCTTTTTTTGTGAAAGGCTGCGGGAGTGAAATGAAACAGGCATGGACGAAGGGAGATCGTAGGTGAACACGGCAAATTCAAGACCATTCTTTCTGAATATTTCACACTACGCGATGGCGTTACTGCTATAGGAGATGTCCACGGAGCATAACCTACCCAAATACAGGCTATATTAGATTCTGAACTAATGAACTAATATTATGTGTACTAAAGACCAAATTATTAAAAAGTAGTAATATTTATTTAAATGAATAATTAAATATCAAAGAGAAAATGATGGTTAGATATCAAAATATTAAATTAATATCAGTTAAATTTTCATTAAAGTTTTTTAAAAAATAAATTTAAAATATTAATCAAAATTATTAAAAATACAAAAATTTTAATTATAAATAAATATTTAAATATTAAATATCATTATTAATTTAACAAATAAATCTAATCCAGCCAAGCCACCCAAAAATATGGCTCCTCATTTCTTTTACCTTTTATAAAGCCAAACCGACTTCTACATTGGGCTGCGTGAAGAGTTTTTTTTTTTTAATTTCAAAACTCCTTCATCCTTATGAAAAAGTTCCCGCCTTTTTTCCCCCCACTTTTCAAGTTCCAAAACTCCGTTCGAAGTCTTCAATTTCAAGGAAAAAAAAGCTGTCACTCTCCGCTACTACTGCACCTATTTTTTCTTCTTTTCCCTCTTCTGTCTTCCTCTCACCTCCTCTCTTTTTTGGTTCAAGATCTGCCTTAGCATCCCACGCTTCCTCCGTTCAACTTTCGCGTCCATGGGTTACCAAGGGAGAGAGCTCGGGAGTGTGAGTTCTCATGGTGGCTGCCTCAGAGCGACGGGTTCATGCTTCAAGTGTCTTCAGATTTACTCGCATTGCTCTGTGTGTCTCTCCTTACCATTCTTCGCTTCCTTCGTTTAGATCTAGATGGTGAGGCCGTCGCACCCTCCATTCTTCATGTTCGTCGGCCATCTTTTAGTGAGTAGATGGAGCTTCAGGTGAATGAAAAGCAGCAAAAACATCAAAGCTCAGATGAGGTGGATTTATTCACGAACCTTGGTGGTTTTCTTTCTTTTTTTCTTTTCTTTTCTTTTATTCATCTCTTTCGTTGCAATTTTGACTCTTTTTCTTTGAGAAATGGTTGAATCATCAGGTTGGAGAAGTTGTTTGAAGCGGAGCATGATGTTCTCAAGGCTCTTAGGGGAGGTGGGATTCAGATCATGGTTGGAATCCCCAATGAGATGTTGTCTCTCTTAGGATCTTCCCCTTCTACTATCGTCTTTTATGTGAAGGTGGTACGGATATCAGGTTGCTTTTGTCTCTATGATTCTCGATTCTCATTTTAGTTTTCATTTTGTTTCCTGAGAAAGCAAAAATTCCATTCTCTCTTTGTTCAATATGCTTAACTGCTTCATCTAAGATTAACTTCTGAAATAATAGTAGTTTAGCAAAAATTCCATTATCTCTTTGCTCAATATGCTTAACTGCTTCATCTAATATTAACTTTTCAAATGATATTAGTTACTATTGAGATCATAGAAGCACCAGAGTATATTTTCATTGCTTAACTACTTTATCTAAGACCATTGTCGTTGGGTTTTCTATGCTTAACTGCTTTATCCCAGAATCATCCAGAGCTCTACATCTGCCAAGACCAATGGTGAGATCTTGTTGGCAATTAATTGTCTCATTGGGCCTCAGATATGAAGAGAAAGATGAACCTTTATCCCCTAGAGCAGGAGACTTGGGAGAAATCAGGTTCCCGTGAAAGGTATTCATCACTGTTGTTCTTTCCATTTTGCTTGCTCTTTTGTGATATATTAATTAATATTCGTAACCAGCAAAGCTTAACATGAAACTGAATAGTGCAGCTATATCCTCTGAAATTACTTTCACACATGTTTCACACACACACACACACACACACGAGTTCAGGGCTATAAGTCTTAATGTGCCAATTTTCCCTGTTATCAATCATACGGCAGTAAAAGCTTCTTATTCTTCTCCCCTATCATTTTCTCTCCCCATTCTACGAACCAAACTTTCAATTTATGATCGGCCTTGAACATATGCCTTTTCAATACATTACAAATAAACAACAAAAGTAAGTGAATTTAAAATACAGCATCCCTACTAAATATGTGTGTGGTATTTCTGAAAGTATCTTTTCTTGATGCAATTTATATGCTTTATGTTTAATTTTTATTTTTGATGAGTTGGGAGCTGATGGTGGCCATCCTCACTGAAGAAAGTTGCTTTAATTGTTGGAAATCCTCAAAACCAGAGTCTTCCAAGGCAAATGTTGTTTTGTGCTAAACGTACTAGTTAATAGTCTTAAACCTGCAATTGGCCTTAATTAGTGATTACTGATTAGTATTAGCTATTCTGTTTTTTTTTTCTCTGATTCTGTCATGAGCTTGGTCAGTTCCCTGTAAGGATTATGGGTATTTTTTTGTTAAGAGTGCTATGCCTAAAAATTTATCTGTTATAAACTTATCTTTTCTCAATCGAACATACAGAAGACTAATGCATGTGAATATACAGACAACATAGCAACTTTTGCTTCTATCTCATCAAGGGGATTTATAGTCCAAACTCCAAAGTACCAAGGGCGAGATGTTATTGTCTGAACTTTAGACCCCAATTACGAAGTCTGAATCACTTATTGCAGTTCAATTCTATGTGAGGGCTTCTCAGCATGGTCTGTGCTTTGGCACAACATAAACCGTACTTTCCTTTTTGGGTCTTGATATAACCATTGCATTTTAATGTATTTTACAGGTTTTCATGACAATGGATGCCATGCTTGGGTTTTAGTTTTCATTGCTTCTTTTCAAAAAGAGTAGTTTCTCTGTATTCTTGGATGTGAATAGTTAGGCAAGTGGTCAACTGGTCATACTACTGAAAGAAGTTTTTATGATTTAGAGTCTCTTTTTCTTTAATTTATAATTCAATAATTCCTGTAAGGTCTGACATTCCTCGACCTTCTTTTTTAAGTGTTGAAGAAAACTCATATATGCTCCTCATTTATAATGTAGGTCAAGAGGGAGATCAAAATATTGCAAAATCTTTGTGGAGGGCCAAATATTGTGTGGTTGCTTGATATTGTTAGAGACAAGCAATCAAAGGCTCCAAGGCTAACTTTTGATTATGTCAATAACAATGATTTCTCTCTTGGATTCTGCCATGAGCTTGCTCAATTTTCCTATAAGGATGAACGGTATTTTTTCTCGAGTTCATGGTTGTTGATTATTGCATCTGATTATTATTCCTTCAGTGTGGAAATTATTTGTATAATCACCATCTATATCTGTCATGATGGTGCCTATAGCTGTTTTTTGTGCTTGGAGTATATGCAGGACTGAACTTGCTCTCTCTTTTGATATATTTCCATGAACTGTGATTTTTTTTTTCCAACTATATATATATATATTTGCAGATTTGTCCCAAGAAAATCTACATAATTTTGAAGTGTTTATAATTATCACCATGGTGAACGGTTAATCAATTTAAGCATGAAGTATTTTGCTTCTGTTAGGGTCAGGATTCTCTACTATTCCGATGAAAGTTTTGGTAGTCTTCCAGCATTCTGGACAAGGCTCAGAAAACATATGTTCATAAGCTATATTGGGGATTGAATGAAAGATAATCAGAAAAATCATTTATGATGGCACTCCCGGCGTAATGTTTATACCATGTATATATAATTGCGTGTGTATCATTTGTATCTTAATTTTTTTAAAATAATTACAACAATAAACATTTTTAAACATGTATACTTGATAATTTTAAAATAATTAGTGAGGGGAATTGATTCTTTCATGGGGTTCATTGCAATTTTAAAGGGGAGCAAGTGCAATTTTAACAAGTGAAAATATTGCTGATTTATAGTGGGATTGAAAGATTTATTGCATAGAGATAGAGAAATCTTTCAAAACTTCCAAACCTTCCAATCTTTTGATTTGTTTGACAAAAAATTAGTATATTTTATTATTAACATTTTTAATCATGTAACATTGCTTAATGTTCATTATTTGGTCATTTACATCTTTTTTTTATTGACATAATATAAAGTGTATTTTGTTAACAAGTAATATAAAATAACCTGTGCAATGTACAGAGTTGTGATTAATTTTTAGATTGTAATAGAAATTATTATTTATAACTGTTTAAATTGATATTTATAATTTATTTTATAGAAATTTTATCGATGACTTAATTGTTATTCTCAAGATGAAATTGTATATCACATGTATTAAAAAGTTCAGAATTTAATATTTTGTAATTTATCTATTTATTTTAACTTTTTAAAACTTAATACTTTATAATTTATTTCTTATTTTTATAATTTACAAACAATACAGTACTCATTTATATATTGAATTTTTATTTTAAATTGTAATTTTAAGTTTAACATTTTTTTAAAAAAATTATATTTGACACAAAAATATACACAATAAAATTCATGTTTTTTCAAAAATTATACATCTAAATTATATCTTCCAAACAAGTTGCAATTTATTAGTTTACTTTTAAGGAGAAAACTTATCCAAATATTAATTATGTTATAGTCGTTACCCTAATTTTAGTTTATTCTAACTTTAGTTTTGTAACTTCTAATCCCAACACATCGCATATCACTCTGAGCCACCCAAAATGACAAATTTGCCACCAACTTGTGTTACTGGTCGTTCTTTGCTTGTTCACAGCATAAAACTAGTATTTTTTTCTGTTATGAATAAGCAAGGAAAACCCATTTTTGCACTTGATGAAGGAGTTCTTCAATGCTTTTCACTCAGGACAAAAAATAAAAGACCACATTGATGCTAATGATTTTTTATTTCTCTCACTTTCATGAAATGTTGATCGATGTTGTTGATTAAGTATAGAATCATAGATGCCATCTCTTTTAATCCCACATGTATATAAACATTTTTTTAAATGTAAATTTACATCAATAGAAGTTAGTTAGGCTTAGCAGAAAGAGCTAACCCCTCATAATATGATAAACTAAAATTTAAATTTTCACTAAAAAAAATTCATGTTTTGAAACAAGATTGCCTCCAATAGAAAACCTATTCCAAATACATACTGTCTAAAACAACTTTTTTTTTGGCATACAAAAAAGATAACCACACCAAATCTTAGCGCATATTTGGTTTTCACACGAGTTTCCCCGAAGTCCATTTGGAAGAAATAACCATTTGTTAGATTTGGCAAAAATTGTAAATGGGTTTTAAGGGAAAACCACGCTGGCAATTAATGATCCGTGCATGTCAGCTAATAGAAGATTACTACAACCTATAGGTGGAATATCAAAAGTGATATATTCAGTGTCAATGCAATGAGCCTGGTGAGGAAAACTGCACTTCAAGACAATTGAATAAATCACATGATAAGCGTATCAGTGAGATATTATACAACTGAGTCTGCAGTATTCTGCACAAATGTTCCTCTTTCAAATTATTCTATCGACTAAAACAATATCACTAAGTTTCCTTGTAGACAATATCCTACCAATTTCTCAGAGGATGCCAACGCGAGAACATATGAAAAGCTGCAGATTAATGGTTGCAATATAATTTTTTCATTGGGGCCACCGGGGCCACCGGAAGGGAGAAGAAACTTTGAGAAAAAATGAGCATGCCTGGAATCGATAAGAGTGTAATCTTTAATGTTGCGTCAGCTTGAAGAAGTAATAAAGAATCGTCTCTGTACAGTGTAAAAGTGTATTTCCCACAGCAGCATCGCACAGTTTACCATGAGAAATCATAAATCAAAATTAAGCTTCCTTCAATTCTCGAACATGAATGTACTTTTTAAGTGGAAGCAATGTCCGCCAAAAGCATCTTGAGCGCCTCGTAGGTCATGAAACAGATACCTACACCAGGCACCACCTTATAATATTCAGGCAAAATTCCTCTGTATAGACCCCACACGCCTTCTTGCCGGATGATGTGACTAAATACCCCAAAGAGGCCCGTTTTATACACACGGGCTCGCCCACCAGCCCCCTCCAACTGCTTCCTTCGCCTCACAAGATCCAAAGGGAAAGTCGCTGCATAAAATATGCGCAGATGAATCCAATCATATCACATTCTAGTCCTAAGGACTTGTTGGTCTAAACTAGAAAATCTCAAAAAATCATGAGGCTCTAATGGTAATCATGCAACGTTTCTGATAAAGCTGCGGCACTTAACAGACAGAATGTCCCCCAAAAAGGAAAAAAAAAAAAAAGAAAAACAGTAAGCAGCTTAATATGTTATCATGAACTTAGTTCTGAACAAGAAATTCATGGTTGAGCAATTAGATCTAATAAAGACAGAAATTATTAACACATAATTAAAAAAAAAAATCATTCATAAAAGCAGCATAAGAAGCAAAGGGTAAAATAAAACATGCAGGCTTACCTGTATTTGGACAATGTGAAACCCAGTGGCACTGGCACCATACCTAAATGAAAAAAAACGGCGCATGCACTAATAGGTTTCACATGCATAAATACTCTCAGTACCTGTAGCCAATGTGCAAATAATAGAGCTTTGGATACACCATTATCCCGAATCAAAGACATGTTTTTTCTCCCACGAAAAGTAAACATTATGTCTAAATTGACAATGTAGTTTATTTATTACTTTTGTCACGAGTAACTACACTTATATGTTATTGTTATTACCATCATTACAGTTATGCTGAAACCAACACTATTATTGTGTGAGCTCACTATTTAGAACTGCATGATCAAGAATTTCTGATAACCACCTGACCATCAGGTGACGAAGCTTATGTGAGAAGCATACCAGAAAGAGAACACCTCTCACATTTGACAATTGAGGGAACGATAAAGCCTTATAGTTTCATCCAAGTAATGCCACCCCATGTTGTAATCCTCCGCATAGCTTGGGGAGACATGTCATAGAATAAAAGTTGGGAAGTTGAACACTTCAATAAGATCTTTAGACAGTTAAAAAGGTAAAGATAGGAAAAAGGCTTTGGTTGGTTGTCCTCCTTGCTAAATTCTCATATGCCATATAAAGAACAGCTCCAACGTGGCCCTGGTTCTAGGGGTCAATCTGGTTAGATACTTGGTGCAGCTACTGCACCAAACCCTCTTTCTCTGCATCAAAAGCATAGTAAACCACTACACACATTAAATTCTTCAATATCCTTTGGTTGAGCAAATTCATCAGTTTAGCCAAAAGATTCGTAAGTTTAATCGCACATCTAATGAGCATTTGATATAGACACTCTTAAAATGAGTATTGTGACACCACATAGATGAAGAGTTACATGACTCTAAATATAATGCTAACAGAAAATTTTCAATCACACTTGCAGAAACCCAATGATATTTGTAATCACAAGCAGAAATAAACACAAGACAATACAAGGCATAAATGAAAAGAATATTATCAAAACCATAATAAAAACACGTTATATAAAAATGTTGACAGCAGCAAAAGAGACCTGAATTAGGAAGAAAGAAGTAAATCCATTAGGTTTAAGGTTTTAGATGACAATATATATATATATATATGTTATATAAATGTGAGTACTAAAAATGCCTTCAGATCACTCACCTGTTGACGACGCAATGCCTGAACGGCTGCCACAGGCCAGACTGACAAGGACACTTGAATCATTGGACCTGATGTTCAAGATGATAGGCAAAAGGTTATGCTAGTGGTGAAATTACTTATGAGTTAATTAATTAATTAATAGCTATTAATCAAATTATGCAAAAATAGGAATCCTGATAAAATGCTAAATCAATTTATGGACAAATTACCTATTTGACTGCCATAAAGATCTCAATGTTTCATACACAGTGAAGCTGATTGCAATATTGGGCCCTACACCCTGCATAAGCAACAAAGCTTAAGTTAATAATACATTAAAGAAATCATCCAGTTTCAGTAATAGAAAATCTGATTACACCAACATACCAAAAGCGTAGCTCCAAGTCCCTTATAAAGGCCCAGAATTCCCTCTTCATGGCTAATAGTTTGTAAAGCATGCCAAACCCCTCGATAGTAGATAACTTTTGTCTGTAAAATATTAACATTGCTTAATTTAATCAAGTAAAATACAGATACAAAAATAATCAACCACTAACCGTGCATGAACAGTTCATTTGACCAATTTTAAGGAAATGTTTCCTTTCCTTGTCTGCACTCCATTTACAAAATACAAAAATACCAGGCCTACATCAAGCAAGGTTCCAAGCATCTAAGAGACTAAGACCAGACAGAAGACTAAATATTCACAAATACTATTACACTACCAAGAAAGGGCAAAATTACATCACCTTGGACAGAATCTCAGGAACAAAATGTCTGATGACAACAGTCATCAATCTAGTATAGAGCAGGAGGCCGGGCACTTTTCAAGCTCGACAGGGAGAAGAAATGAGATTGGGGCAAAAAAGGAAAACGCACCGTCAACGTTAATAACTTAATCTTACCTGAGCAGCAAGACGCGTTCTCACAAGATCCAATGGATACGTAGCCGTAGCAGCACTTATTCCTGCCAGGCCACCACCTACAAAATGGATACAAAGGTCCGCACTGATATTATCCTTCTCAATTTTGAGTCCTGGCAGCGTCTTTAGTAACTGTAGAAGTAAGAATTATTACATACTAATCAAGCCGCAGAAGACAGTAGTTATGAATACAATTACACCATCTACTATAGTCTTAGGATTGTAAATATGAATACCCAAAAAAAAAGCAACCTTCTTGTAGTGCTCATATACATAAAAGTTTACTGAGGAATAGGGTAGACGGTGAGCAATTGTAACCAGATTTCCTTTCCAGAAGGCCCTAAATCCCTCTTCATTGACAATGCTTGAAGCCTCATGCCATATACTGGCTTTTCTCAAAGTTGCAACACTGGAGTGCATACCCTGAACCTGAAAGCAATGATTAAAAAGATGGATGAGATTACGGAAAAGAAGGTAATATGAATGAAAATGACCCTTTTAACACCTCCCAAAAAAAAAGTAACAAAAAATGAAAGCAAAAACTTAATAGACATTGCATAACAAATTAATGCTTCATTTTCCGTGATTAGGTCACCTTTGCCTTTTCACAGTCCTACCAAACATAGCCCAAGCAAGCCAGACAAAACCAGATAGAGGCCTTAGAAACTGTTCACACAGTTCTAGTTCTACCAGTTCCCAGCGCACTGAGGAAAGTGCAGGCTGGCGCCTGACCCCAAACAACTGCTACCATTTAGACAAGCATTAACTACTCAGGTCAAGAAGACGGGCTCAGGCCCCGAACCTGCTTTTCCAAAATTCCTTCAAATCTTAAGACCCAGCCCTTATGTAAAGGACTCAGGGCCAGGCTCAGTTAAAAAAAATAAAAAATTTAATATTATAATTTAATTAAAATATTTTAAAATTAAACATAAAATAAATCAAAGTAATTACTCAGCTGGCCAAATTTTAATAATTGCTTTGGTTAAACTTGGTAAGAATTAGAGTACCCATCTAACACAATCAAAGATCAAAGCATCGGCCACCTAGCACCTACGGCAAGACAATAGCTGCAAGTGGAGAGCAGATCATGAGAGGCGTGAGGGAGAGCATATGTGATAGACGTAAGGGATGAATGGACATCAGATGCGGGAGGGAGAGCTGAGTGACTGAGTGAGGCAAAGATTAGAGACAAGGCAGGTATCACCGATGGCGGGAGAGCAAAGATGCTGAGTAAGGCAGAAATAAGCAATGGCCGACGGCAGAGCAGATGAGATGAGTGACTGCAAAATCTTCAATCTTCGGGCTGAAATTGTTAAACCAATAGCTATTTCCCCATCACTGCTCATCATAAGCCAATCATCCTTCATTGCTAGGAGACGAATGAACAAGCGTCAGAAGCTTTCACTGTTTGCTCTGCCCCGGCCCTTTTATCATCTTTTCTCGTTTAGTTAAATTAATGGCTTCCTTTGAATCAAAACGCAGAAACAGTCGAAAAGGGCCTGGGCAAACTCACAAGCCACAACATATACCAGCCCAACATTCCTTCCATTAAAAAAAATAAAAAGAGAAAAAAAAAAAAAAGAAAAGAAAGAACGGTCCTTATTATGAATGATGGTGGTGGTGATTTGGCCAGGAAGCATTGAAGTTCATTAAGTCTACGAATTATCCAGCATTCCTCAATCTAACCCGGGTTATTTAAGCCCAGTAGAACACAAAAGAGGGCACAAAGGAAAATAAAAACAACGCGCGCAGCAAGCTGAAAATATTTATCCACATTAAAGACGAACATAAAACCGATAATACTAACCTGAAAGAGTATGGTTAGTCGAGCAAGGGGCGCGGTGCATGTCTTGCTGAGAGCGCCTGCAACGCCGCCAGCAAGAAGCTGCGAAATAGGGCCAATCTGAGACTGCCGCTGCCGCTGCCACGCCAACTTCCTAACCGCCCCATCGACGACAACACCCGCGTGACTCGGATTGGTACCTCTTTGGCCCCCTTCTACCACCGCACCAACCCTAGCCTCCGTTTGCATACCAGTTTCTGTTCTCTTTTCCTACACCTCCTAATCTCCCATCACCAACTTATCTAAACAGATAATTTAAAAGAAAAATAAAACCTTCGCCTTGCCCTAGAGTTCGAAAAAGCAATAAACGATTCAGTTAAAAGAAGAAGAAGAAGAAGCAATAAACGGCTCGATAAATCATGAACCCTGAGACAGCAAAGAGCCGCGGTAGACGAGCACCAGCACAATTATGGGGATCTCTTTGTCATCCTTGTTTCTGCGGTTCAATGCTTGCCTGTGAAAGGTGAAAATATGTCCGGACAAAGAGAAAAGCGAAGTCATAAAAGAACCAGAGGATGAGACTACGAGGAAGGGTGAAACGTCGTCGTATGCGTCTCGGGTGGTGTGAGCGAGGCAGACGTTGGGTAGCGTCAAACACTTTTCAGTCGCAAGAATGAAAGGTGATTCTCTGGAGTTGATTGATTGATAAGGAGCTGAGGGTGAGATTGACCCTAGAAGGAGAGTTTCCCCAGGCGCAGAGGCAGAGCATGGGATTCCGCGGTGAACGTCTGGTGCGAATCAGAAGGGAATATACTCCTAAGTTAATTTATAAATTACTTTTAATATGTGTTTTTATTACAATTGAAAATTACTAAATTTTATTACCTTCACCTAAAAATTTAATAAAATTTTATAAGAGTTTGGGATTTGCGAGAAATTTGGGTGTATCGAGTTTGTGGTTCACATTTCAATTTAGTTTTTAATTTGTTCAAAAATTATTTGATAAAAATTTATTCAATAAAAATTAATTGTTGTAACTAAATTTATATTTGAATAGATTTTCTTTAAAAATAATTTTATACACTAAAAATTATTTAAATTATGATAGTAAAATATATTTTTAAATGTATAATTATCAAAAAAGACATTGATTTATGATAATTTATAATTTTTATTATATAAATTTAATATATTTAAAATATTTTAAAAATATGATAAAGATTCTAAATAACATAACATTTGATCTATAATGCTAGAACTTAATCATTAGTCATTTGTACTTTTTAAATTTGTAATTTAAAAAAAATGTGATAAAGATTTATAATTTGTATGATGCATTAATGTTAAAAATTAACATGATTAATTATTCAATTTATAATATTAAAAACTTGATACCTAACTATTATTATTGAAATGATAATTATATTTTTAATGAATTAATTATTTTTTAAATAAAAGAATAAGAAATTAAATTTGAGATAGTATGATCAAATAACAACTTATTTTTCAAATCCACTTTTCAAAAGTTTTATTATTTTAAGTTGATTAAAAGCATATTCAATAACATCCAAAAATAATTTTTTTACAAAATTAAAAATCAAATAATATCTTATTTTTAAAAAATAAAAAGGTACTTCTTGAATGTTAAAAATGACAAAACCAAACGAACCATTGTAATTATGTTATAGCATTTCAAATCACTTTCTCAAAACAACCACAAAAAATAATAATAACAAACCAAATATAAAGTTGCCAGCACCTTAGGGTCTGTTTGGTTGGAGGTAAATGAAGGGGAGGGGATGGGAGGGGGCTCCATTTCTCTCATTTGGTTCAAAATTTTTGGAAGGGAGGCCTCTCCTCCCCTTATTTTGGCTCCCTCCAAATTAGGATTTTTTAGAGGGAGAGTTAAATTTGTTAACTAATTTACCCTCATTATTTTTATAAAATTATGATATTACCCTTGAAACACAATAAACACAGTCTGTCTCGCAGAAGCTCAATCTAGCTTTCTTTTTTTCGCAGAAGCTCGGTCTGTCTCGTCATGTGTCTTCTTCTCGCTTTCTTGGATCTCTTGGTCTGTTGGAGCTCTCATTGTGCGTCTAGTCTGTTGTGTTCGAAGCCCCACCGTGCGTCTTGTTTGGAGTGGTCGGAGCTCCCACCATGCATCGTCCCATCAAGTCCTCCTCTTCGAAGCTCTCATCGTGCATTGTCAGGTCAGATTCTCCCTCACAAATGCTCAGTCTATCTTTTTTTGAATCAATATGCTTGATTTGTGTTTGACTTGAGCTTCACCTTAGTTTTCTTCTTCATTCTTCATTCTTTTCTTTATGCTCGAACCCTGTTTTGAGATCTGTGGTTGTTTTGTTTTCTTCATTCTTTATTCTGTTATGAGATCTAATATTATGTGTGGCTTTGTTCTTTGTTCTTAGTTCCAGTTTTTTTGTGCTTTTGTTCTTTTTCATCATTCTTCGTTAACCGAAAGAAATTCTCAGCCTCTTCGTAGTTTTTTTGAGCTTTGTTTATTAAAGAATAAAAATTACTAGTTTTGACTTTTCACATGAAATTTGATTTTCAAAATATTTTTTTGCTGGTTTATGATCCTCTAACTCTTTTTACTTACTATTTTTAGATTTGTGACCTTGCGATAAGCTTAGCTTTATTACTTCGGTTAATGTTTATTAATACATTTTTCCTTTACTGGTTAATGAAACATAGTCCTCCTTTATGCCTTGCGCATCCACTCCATGAATTACTTGCAAGTGATTACAACATAAATATGATCACGTGGATCCTCTTTGAAATTGTTTTATTTGCTTAGATAATACTTCAGAACACAGATTGTGGAGTTCTGAAATGTTTATAAAATCTTCTTGAAACTAATCTCATGCTGCTTGATTTTGTTTTTGCTTCTCTGTGCACATATGTAAAAGCAGGAGTGTGGTTAGCCTGTTAGCCTAATGGGAGTTGCTTTTGACGACCACACTATAAATCCCTATCAGATTGCAAAATATATATTATAGAGATAGATGTGATTCCTTTTTGCTATGAAAATCTGTGTTATTTGTTTCAAACTTTGACATTTACGGATCAAGATATAATTTTTTATTGGATGTTTAATAATTGAGCTTTAATGGTGTTTTAGATGCAATATTGCATTGAATATTACTGGTTCTTTTGCTTCTGTCTTGAGATTGCTAAGTTTGGGATCTGCAGAGTCACATAAATCTTGTTTTCTGCTGATGAAACTAAATCTTTTGCTCTTATTTATGATAATTGTGGTTTGTTTATTGATTTCCATTGTTCTTCTTGATTGCTTTGTTAGATGAGTAAGGAATCTGAATATCTTTTACTGGTGTAACATTGGTTTGAATTGCGTTGAAGAGCACTAGTGCTTCTTGCTTGTGTCCTTGTAAAAGTATGTGTAAGTGAGATGTGTTCGAAAAAAATAAGTTACAGTTTGAGTGGCAAGAGAGAAATGGTACGTGATGAAATAATGAGCCAAATTAGTGATTGTCCCTCTAGTTGAAATATCATTAGAATAACTCTTAGAACTTTTTTAGAATTATGTGGTATGTTAGAAAAAGAGGCTGGCCTACAACCTACGTGATGGTCAAGTGTGGAAAAAATGGTTGCAAAAACTCTATATATATTAACACACAATGCAAAAAATCGTGAAGTAAATTTTTAGTTTAGGTGTTCTGGTGAGACAATTAGTCGCCGTTTTCATCAAGTTTTGATAGCTATCATTGACTTAGAAGAAAAATTTCTTGTTCAACCCAATGGCTCAACCATCCTTCCTAAAATTGAAAAAGATAAGAAATTCTTCTCATATTTTAAAGATTGTGTCGGTGCTATTGATGGAACACATATACGAGTCAAGGTGCCTTCTTTAGATGCTCCTAGATACTGTGGTAGGAAGGAAATTCTGATACAGAATGTGTTAACAGCATGTATATTTGATCTAAAGTTCACTTATGTGCTCCCTGGATGGGAAGGTACTGCATCTGACTCAAGAATAATTAAAAATACATTAACACGAGAAAATAGATTTATAATTCCTGAAGGTAAATATTTTACCAATTTTGATAAAGTTTATATTTGTGAATGTAAAATTATTATAGTAATTATTTTCTTTTATGATAGGTAAATATTACCTTGCCGATGCTGGATTCATGTTAACAAGAAGACTTATAACACCTTATCGAGGAGTCCGTTATCATTTGAAAGAATATTCAAAACGGAATCCTCCCCTAAATTATAGAAAGTTATTTAACCTTCGACATGTAAAGTTACGCAATGCCATTGAACGTGCTTTTGGTGTTTTGAAAAAAAGATTTTCCATTCTATCCAACGCAATTGAACCTACATATGGAATCAAAGCAAAAAAATGATAATATATGTATGTTGCATTCTTCATAACTTCTTTGTGAGCATGGACTCTATTAAAGATCTTTTAAAGAAAGTCGATGTTGTTCTTGCAAGAGAAAACAATTCAAATAATAATAATCGTGCTCAAAGAGGGGACAATAATGAAGCTGCTCGAAGTGAATTTATTAGAGAAAATATAGCCAATCAGATATGGGTAGATTATGAGGAACATCTGGCTACTCTTAAGGATGAACTTGATGATTGAATTTTGATTTTCTCAATAAGTTAGACTCTAATGTATTATTATAAACATTTAAATATGTTGTATTATTACATTGACTTATATTGAGTTTAATTGAGGTTTGATCAGATATTGAAATTTGTTGTTTTATTGACTTTTATTTACTTTGTATTATTTGTTTAGTTTGCCATTGAAATTTGATTAGCTTTTTATGTTGGGATTGATATTATGTGATTATATTGTTATATGATAGGATGGCACTAAACAATAATAAGGAGATTGTGAACTGGACAAGATTAATAGATGATGCCCTTGTTGATGCTTTTATAAATGAATATAATGAGGGTCACAAAGTTAATGGCACTTTTACAACTACAGCTTATGATAACATATGTAAATATTTGAGTGCTTTATTCGATAAATATATTGGTGAAAAATCGATGGAAGACTTTAAAGAGAAACTTTTCAGATGTTTATGACATTTTCAAAAGTTTGAGTGGGTTCGCTTAGAATCCAATAACTCGAGTATGGGATGTTAAGCCTGAAGTTTGGGATGCATTAATTAAGGTAAATTTCTTACACATGCATTGATTATATTATTCTTTTGTAATTTCCTACATATTCATAGCTATACTTGTTTAATGGTCTTTGAAAATGGAAAAGTGTGCATTTACAATTGAATTGCTTTTGTAATTTCACTTGTTTCAGGCTAAACCTAAAGCAGCATTATGGAGAACTACTTCTTTTCCAAACTATGAAAAAATAATGATATTATATGGAGTAGATAGAGCTAATGGAGATAAGGGTGAGACAGCACGTGAGTGGAGAAAGATATGTCGTTCTCAGGAAGAAGTCACTAAAACCGTTAATGAATTAACAATATTGTCTCACGAAATAAAGCCACAATTAATGTTGAGCTTGATGGACAAGAAAACTCACCGGGACAAGAAAACTCACTTGACCAAGAACACTCACCTACTATTAATAGTGCATGTAGCAAGAAGACAAAGAGGGTGTCTAAGGAGAAGGAGGCTAGTCTAAATGAGTTGACGGGAGCAGTGTTAGTTGTGGTTGAGACAATTCAACAAGGAGATGTAATGATAAGACAAAGTTTTAAGAAGGTGCCACAATTGTCAGGTGAAGAAATTTGGAAAATGCTTAAAGAGTGTGGG